CATCTCTGCGTTGCATCAGGATTCCCGTTGACTGGACCATCACCGACGAGTATCAAGTTGGAGCTGGAAATATTACCGACCTATATCTGATCGGTAAAGAAAGTAAAAGCTGCACCGCCAGTGGCCACCAGCCGGATTCGCGGGGAGTTGCTGAGTAAGGGCAAGTTACCGACAAGAATTATGTCGGAAATGTCATCAAAAAGCTGCACCCCTGACGCAGGCAGCCAGCTGGTTGGCGGGGGTGGTGCATTGGGACTGGAAATTACCGAGGAGATGAACGTTGGAAATTGTTCCTCATTTACCGACGAGACTATCGTTCCAAATCCATTCACAGGTGTACTTCTCGTCGGTGATATGCCTTTCCTCCTTTCCCCAGGCCGCCGGAGTTTTGGTTACAATTACTGACAAGAAACACGTGTGTATGTTGTTAAATTACTGACGAGTCTTACGTCTGTACAATAAATAATATATCTTACTTCCATTTCTACTGTTTCTCAACTTGCAGACTTACATTTTGTCGGTAAATGGATGCTTCACCGAGAAACCTTCTTACCTCGGTGATAGCTGGTCGGTGAAGCTAGGTTTTCTTGTAGTGTAAAGATGAGATTGTATCTAAAATCCCACGTTATAAAAGGCAACTAATTACCTTGTTAGAAACTATTACCATTGATACAGTCAAATGTTGTTTTTTTGCTAAGAGCAAGACAGTAAGAGGACATGAACCGGAAAGGAAACGAGAAAATAGCCATATAAGAACAATAATTTTTAACAAATAAAATATAAAAAATGAAAATAAAAGTTAAGTCACAAACCCTAACAAAAAATAGCCAAAAATATAAGGCAACAACTCCTCCAAGACTTCAATCATCGTGTCATTTCCCTTGCACTCTATTGCCCACGCAAAAGGAAGTAGAAGCCATGTTTAGGAAGACGGTGCTTGCCAATATAGCAAGGAATGTGAAATCAAGTAAAGACCTTGCCAAGCCATTTTCCTCATTTTTATTTTCATATCTTTTTGTATGTTTTGTGATGGGATGTATTTTATATGCTTAATATATTTTAGCTTTAATTTTGTTACTATTTGAATGGATAATATATGATTTTGAATAGATTTTATATCATTTTTATTCTTTATAGGGGAAAGGACTTGAATGTATAATAATAAGAGTTTTAAGATTAATTAAGTATAATTTTTTGAAAGTTAAGGGACTGAATTGTAAGAATTTGATTCATTCATTTAGATCCTTGAAAGGAACCTTTCTTCCCACAATTGAATGAATCTGAAGTTACAAGATCAAAGTACTCATTGTGTAAAAGTTGGAGAATTAGATTTGCCATTTCACCATTGAAGAAATTGAAATAGGATCTAAAATCCGACACGGGTATGGTGTCGAGACCTGCATTCTGGTGTCAGCACCACAGAATACACCTTTGAAAGATAGGCACGGCGCGAAATGAATAGAAGTACCAACACTTCATATGAGTGTCGACACTAAAAATCTTTTCAATTTTAAAAATTTTAATTTTTGTTACAGGTCCTATTTTTTAAAATTATTTTTTAAGCTCTATAAATATTCATCCAAAATTAGATTTGGGGATTTTAGGGGAAGACGAAGAGGAATACAATTAAGATGAATTCAATATAAAAAATTTAATAT